TAAAACAGGAGATGTTTTAAAATAATGAGCTGAGTGAAGACCTAGAGGCTTATGTTTTATCTCAAATTATTTGTAAACAACATTCTGTCTCAGAGCTTGGTATGGAGTTACTGAAAGTGCTGAATGCAAGCCAGACCAGGAAGATGTGAGATGAGTTTATAGGAAACAGACCCTGTTCACTCAGACTTCCTTAAACAAAGTTTTCTGACTGAGGTCACAGACCAATGAAGATAAAATAATGATAACAAAATAAATATTTCTGCTTGATCTCCACTGCTTACATATGCCTGCTATGTAAAAAATGTAATGAAACAGTCTTTCATCTCTGTGTAAGTTTGTAAGCTAACGCTTTGCTTTATTTTTTTCACAGAAAAGATTTGCATCCCATGTAAAGCATTAGCAAAAACTGAATTCCATTGCCAGGGCGGTAGGGGCTGCACTGCCTGGGCTGCCCTGTATGAAACTCTTCTGCCACTTACACTTAGTAAACTCTCCTGTGTTCTTTGCAACTTTCTCCCTTTCAAAGCTTTACTGTTTGATTCAACGTGGATGTCATGCATGGTGCAATGAATTGTCAGTATGGTGGATCTGATGGGGGCAGCAGGGATGTCACATCTGGGTCAGTGCCTGTCCTCACCTTGGCCAGCTGGGGATGCCACCGAGGTGTCCTCCTGCATGGTGGTGTCTTATTTATGCTTGCTTTTGCCATAGCCCTTCCATCCTAACGATGCGAGGTTCACGGCCCTATCTCATGTGCCCCTGCTTCTGCTGAATGGCTCTACGTTTCTTTCCTTACCCCTTTCTTCCACTCTGGGAAAACCAGACTGGGCTCCACTCCTGTGTCCTGGAAAGCTGAGGGAGGAGATGGAGGACCAGAAAGCCTTGGTTGTGTGCCTCTGCCTCCACACTCTTGTAACTGGGAAATTTTTGTATCCCCTTTCCATTCTTGCTCTAGCTCCAACTCCTAGGTCTTCCTGCTACAGCTTTCACAGGGCGTCAGTCATAGGTATCGGGGCTGTTTTGTTTAAAGATACTTCTTGCAGGCCGTCATGTTTCCTTGAGGAGGGAAGCAAGAGATTGAAATGCACGGCACAGCCAAACCTGAATAGGATTTCATGAGATAAAGAAAGGATGCTTCTCTGTCTGAATTTTGAAAGCCTGCTGGAAACAGTTTAATTTGAGCTTCTCAGAAAAAAATCACAGGAATCCTCCTTGAAGGAAGATGCTAGACAATCTAATTATAGTACAGCCTACCAGTTCATCTTTATACGTGCTTTATCAGTTGCAAAGTAACAGTTCCGTGAGACTTGATAGAAAACTTCCAAAAATAAACAAGCATAAAAGCTTGCCCTATTTTTCATTTCCATTGTATTTTACAGTGAAAGGAGACAGGCGGTAAATTACCACAAAATCCATATAAAATGACATCTTGTTTTGTAAACACTGTGAAGCATCACAGAGGGTGCTTGAAGAGCATTCTGCTGCAGCGTGATCGCCCAGGGCTCACTTCCCTTTCCTTTGGTCAAAGAATTGCTTACTGGGTCAATATCGCCTGTATTCCTTAACTCACACTCAGGATCAAGAAATCCTGTCCAGGAAAAGCCTGTATCATTCGTATTTTCTTTCAGACCTTTATTCTTCAGAAAGTTAATAGTATTAAACTTAGTGCTATTGAAAAGTAAAAGCAAAATATGAGTCTGAATTATGGGAGCAGCTGAGTGGACAGAATCATACTGATAAATGCTTTGATCAGAAAAGATCTTTTCACACTACAAAACATTTCAATAGACTGCTAAGAGTTCATCTGTCTGTCTTAATAACCTGGAAAATCAGATATAAAGGTTTCAAGTTGTGGGATGGTAATGATGGAAAAGGGAGAAAGGGGGATGTTTATTCCCTTGGTGAAGAGTACAAATGGACTTGGGCATTCCTCAGGGAACAAAAGGTGCTGCATGTCAAGAAAAAAAGTGAGCAGCAATAGCAGAAAAGCAGTGATCAAGGCAGGAACAGTTTCTTGGGCAAAGTGGCAGTGCACTTTGTTCTCCGGCAGAGAAAGGAGTACGGTCCTGAATCTCATTCACAGGTCTGGAGTGGTGAATCCTCCAAATCACAGCTCATGCGCCAGCATGTGAGTGCAAAAGAAATAGGTTATGCTGAATACAGAGGTAGGAGGGAGAAAAAGTTCCTTGTCAGCCTGTAACTGTCAAGCAGTTATAGCAGGAAAAGAATTTCTAAGCTGAGTTGTGGTAGATAATGCAGACTTTGAGGAGTGGAGGGGGAGCGGAAGAACAGTAAGTTTCCACCAAACTATAGTCTCCTCCATGTGCCATGGGAATGAGGGGATTTCAGGGATTGGTGGCTGAAGTTGCCTGGAGATGGGGCATGTGTGAGGTAAATTTTTCGTACTCAGTGCTAACGTAAGCTCATATTTTAGAGAACAATGAAAGTGTCCTTGTCATATGTTTATTTGCCTTGCATTTCGAGCAAAGTATTTGATATTCTCTTTAATCATTTTTTCTGCAGTCTATGAGGCAGCCAAAACTAGTGATAGTGCAAGTAAAACAGAAGGGTTCCTAAAGTAAAATTTATTTGTTTTTCATCCCCCATGAAATATAACTCTCCACATCCAAAAAATGAAAAACAGTGAGGGATTTGTTCTCCCCTTTCTGCACACGTGTAACTCCATTTAGCAGCAGCAAGATTAATGCACATCCATTAACTCTTTGAATGCCTGCGTTCTTCACATTAAGAGAAGCCTAAATCTTGGCTTACATGCAAGATGGATGCATGTATGTCACTAGATAGTTGCATTTTTTAGCTTTTTACACTTAATATTACTGGTATCCTTTCTTTATTTTTTTGTCAGAAATTCCCCTGTATGGCTGTAGCAACACATTTAATTTTCTGTAAAGTAGATGGAGCTACTGCCTTAGTAGGGGAAATAGCGCTAATGGGGGGCAGTGAAAATCATTGAGCCCTTTTTAGTAAACCTACCCCTTTTCAGAGGTCAAGCCAAAACACAATGGTGTTGTAAAACTAATTTAATTGCCTCTGAAGAGCTTTAAGGTCCATCAGGAAAAGGTGCAGCAGAAGTTAAAAGTATTATCGTTATTGATTTGCAATCTATGGTAATTTTGGACCATGCACACTTAGAAATAGTAGGAGAATATAAGTATGAAATGAAGTCAGAATAAGAATATAAATGCACTGCAAATTTAGACAATAATTTGACTTTACATTTTATTATTTAAGCTTGCTCTCATATTCAACCAGGAAAGAAAAGAGAATCTTAAAGTTGTACTAACTTTTTACTACCAAATTTTGCCTCTGAAAGCAGATAATTATTTTTTTTTGGCCTGGCTCTGTGTGTTATTTTCCGTTTTCCTCAGCCTCCCACACGCTAATGACTTGGGTAAGAGAATTCCATGCACTATGAATATATTTTCTTTTTAAGCACAGTCTCCCCAGAGCTGGAAAATGTGAATGTGAAATGAAGCTTGCCATCCTCAGAGAAGGTTAAAGATCTAGGAGCGTGTACAACTCTATTCTGAAAGTCAGTTTGTCAAGATATAATTTACAGAGGTTCAGTTGCACAGGCATCATTCTGCATTTCTTTCAAGATGAATACTTTTATACCTTCAGGCGTGTGATTTGTCAAGGCAGCTTTGTGGCCTAGTGGGCAATCAGAATTTGCCTTAGCGGACTGAAATGACCCAGAACAAACTCAGTACTTAATCTTCTTTATTGCTGAAATCAATAAGTAGATCCATACTAAGTGCTGACAGTTCTTATGTAGGGAGTGAAAAGTAGAAGCGTCTGCTCCTTGAACTTCTAATGTTTTATGGGCCAGAAGTTCTGTTTTGTTATTTGACAACGAACTTGCTAATTTTGTTTTATGATGCAGGAATTAATGAGAGGTATTTTCTTTGTGGTAATTTGCGCACGCATTGTCACAAGATTAATGTAGATCGAATGCCATCATCCAGAAGGCCCGATACAACAGTCAGTGAAAAATACCCACCTAGATAATCGAGCGGGGAGAGGGAGCTCTGGCAGAGCCTGACAGTTCAGGTGAGCGGCACAGTTACAGCTGACCGCAGTGGCTCACCAGCTACCCTTCTGGAAAGCCCCATCCTAAATAAGGGTTGCCTCCTTTCCTTACATTAGTAGACCCCGTACATATTCGCCAAGGTTTTTTTTCAAGTTTTATAATGTATCTGAGGTATGCCAAAAACTGAAATTAATTTTCCTAGGGTTGTATTTTTTATTACCACACAACAGCTGATTTCCCCTGCAGTTTCATGTAACACTTGTAATTACAACTTGTCCTGAAGAGGGTGAAACAATAACAATAAAAACGAGAAACACTGAATGGGCCAAAGCTACTCATAAGACAAGTGGTTTATAACTTTGGTAAATCCAGAATAACTCTCAAGTTCTGCTCTACCTCTTCAGGAAACAGCCTAAATTCTGCACTTCAAAAGTATCTCTGGATGAGGAAGAAATACAAAATAACTTTGTGTGCAAAGCAATCATAAGACATAATGCCATTTATACCCATGGAAATTAATATCTTGTGACACAGTGAAGAGAGACTTCTTGTCAAATTTTGGCTCTGGAGCTACTAGCCTGTCCATGCGCCTGTTTATACCACTTTTGTTTACTTGATATTGGAGACTAATCAGAAAAAAAGTTGTACTGAATTATGAGTGCTGTCAAGTTTCGTATGAAAAGTATTAAAACTTTAAACAAAAGAGTCTTCTAAATTCCCATCCTTCTGGTCCCACAGTCTTATCTTGCTGTTACACTTTTGTTTAAACTGTTTGTTCCTCTTCTTTTTTTTATTTGGAGTTGATTCAATAACCCACTCTTTTTTTATTTCTTGCAGATGTTAAAATGATGAAACCTTCTCTCCCGCTGGAGCAGTGCACAGCAGCCATGACATCTCCCCTGGTCCTCCATGGAAGGTACATTGCAGCCTGCTGCTGAACTGTTGTGACATGTCTCTAGCAATCAGAAAGAAAAGCTGGGAAGAGCATGTGACCCAGTGGATGGGATTGGCTTTGGAGTCTGTGGAGTATAATACAGCATGTCGTCACGGACTTGTAGCTGATAACTTGCAGACAAGTATGGAAAAAGATGAGGTTTTGAGTGTGGACCGGAAAGAAAAATGTGCTTCGTTTCCAGAGTGCTGTTATAGTGGAGAGCTGATTGGCTTCCCTGCAAAGCAGCTGGGAAATGTTTCAAAGGAGGTGGATGAAAACGATAACCATGAGGATGAGGAGCATTTTCTGGAGGCCAGCACAGAAACTCTGGTCCATGTGTCTGATGATGATGATGATGACTATTCATCACTCGACCTGGATAGTGTTAATTACCACATCACCGCTGTAGGAGGGGAACCAAACGATGAAGAAAAGAGTTTAAATGGAGCAGGCTCCTTAACACAGATGGTACCAATAACAGAGGGTAACAAGGTAGCTGAAGCATCTGGAATAATTGGAGATATAAGTAAGGAACCTGGCTGTGGCGCAGTTCCTAAAGAGGAGATGGAAGAAGATGACATTTGTGGCAGTGTTGGTCAAAGCCTGGAGCTTTGTAATTATGAAGACTTAAACGAAGTAGTAGATGTAGAGAAAGAAAATCTTTCTAATTCTCCAAATGTGAAAGAAATTATTATGCCTGGGAAGCAGCTGCTTCATACTGCTGTAATTGCACAACAGCGCCGGAAATCTGATGCTTTTAAAGACGGGCTTGGAAAGTCTGAGTGTAATGTGGTAGAGAGTGGGATTTCTTCCGAATCATGCACCAGCAGTGACGGACAACTATGTTCAGCAGTGGAGTTTAGCGACTGCCTTATGCAATTACCTTCTCCTTGCTCTTGCATCCCGGCAGTGGAAAATGGTCTGGATGAAAGTGGTTTCACAGAACCTCAAATGGCCCCTGAAAACAAATGCTTTTCAAATGTCAGTTCAGCTGAAGATGTTCAGTGTTTACATGTAAGGAATCATTTGACCACACAAGAATATTCAGACAGTCAAGTGAAACTGCGCAAAAGAAAGGTAGGATGCTTGTAAACTGCAGAGATTTATTCTAAAGTTTTTCCCCAATTTCTTATGAAGAGGGCTCCATGACTCATTGATTGGAGATAAAAATGTGGTTTTCAACCTTATTTTGTTAATTTGTCAGATTTTTCTTCAAACGGTTTTGAGAAAAATGTGTCTGTACAACAACCGAGTTTCAGGAGCTCTTTTTAAGGTCTGAAAATGACTGAGCTGTGCATTTGGAAGGTACCTTATATTCACGTTATATATATTACTTTATATATTTTATGTATGTTGTTCAAGGCTAAATGAAAAAGTATCTTCTATGGGTTTGATTTTATTTTTGTTTTTCTGCTGCAATCAGGTATCATTATCTGTTTCCTCTTAGGAAACAGATTGTGTCCAGGGGTTCGGAAGCCTTATTAAAAAAAAAAAAAAGAGAACAGAGAAAAAGTGCAGTAAAACTTTAAAAGGGAAAAAAAAGGAGTGGAAGTATTTTGCAGTAGTTCTTTGGTTTTCAGATCAGCCCCATGAGCATATATCCTTGCAAAAAGAAGTATTGCTGAGTTTGAAACAATGTTTTGTAATTTTAAAGCAACCAGAGGGTTTCACTGTCTGCACAGAGTAAGGAAGAGTATCGTTACAAAACTTTAATGGACAGATTCCCTGGCAATAAAACTCCTATTGGCTTTAATGGAAGGAGATGTGCTGACTGTGGCACTATAGAATTAATCTTAAAGTCTGGCTTTCCCAGTTATGCTGCTTATTCTTCCTAATAATCAATTTGTAATTGTTTGCTTCTTTCTGCCTTTTTTCGTTTCAGATCATCCAGCTTCTTTTGTCTGTTTTTTTATAAATCTGGTTTCGGTTAATTGTGTGGGGTTTTTTCTGTCAGCTGTATTGCCTCAGTTGCTAATTCCCTAAAGCACAAATTCACATATCTAAAGTACTGTATGCCAACATGGCATCCTGAGCTGCTGGCCATTGCTTCCTTGTGTAGACCTTTTGGTAATATTAACACTCAATTGATATGGTTAGAAGCTGTAAATAACTTTTGCAAAAGGTTTCAGAAGCCCTCAAAGCAGTCTTCCTTTGGTTGTTCATGCAATCACAGTTAATGTGGTAACTGTTCAACTGATCTTGCAGTAATTATGGCTCTCTGTTACAATTAAGAAACAGAAACCGGACTAGCAGTACCAGAAATGCTAAACTTACCCATCTGTAGAAAACAGTTCCAGTTTAAAAAAAAAAAAAAAAAAAAAAAAAAAATTTAACCTAATTAACATCATGTTTGAGAACTGACTATTATTTGACTCTAATTGACTATTATAACCATATTCTCAGCTGCTCTACTTTCGTGTCTCGTTTTCTTATTTCTGAGCATAGTTTCTAATGTTGACGCATACATTTCATATTGTTAGCAAGATGTACCATGCTATATTTTTAAATCACTTTGATCCTGCTAGTTTCTGTGTACCTCCTTGCATATTGTTTTGCGGTCACGTACTCATCTTTTAAATGTACACTCACGAGAATTATATTTAAGAATGTGTTTGTGATTTCTGTTTGTGCTATTAAATATTTAAAAAGACAGAATATAAAAATTCCAGTGAGAGTAATGGTGAGAAAAACTAAGAAAGGATGTGAGCATAGAAAGGAGCAAAACAAGGAGTTGCTTCAAGGAAGATTGAGAGTTACGTGGCTGCAGCAACTGCCAAGCTGTGTGCACTGGAAAAGGGGACGGGGTCTGTAAATCTGAAGGAGCGACCTCATACCACTTTGGTTAAAGAAATCTTTACTAACAACTGTTAAATGTTTGACAAAAAGGAAAAGATAGGATCTTCTGTTGCCTGTGGTATTATTTATATCTCAGTTTGCAGGATGCTTCTGCAAACACTGTTCCTGTGTGCAGGATTTTATCACTTATATCTAATCATGCATTATTTTACAAAAGTCTGTCTGTGTTGGTAATAATCTGTAATGAAAAATGTGCTTATGTTTACAAACTTTCCCTGAAAAACACTTTTGTAATTTTAACAAAACATTAGAAAAATAACAGACTTGAAACTGAACCCATCCCTAAAAGCCAAGTATTTGCTTTGCAGTGACAGGAAGACTTAAGGGATTGAGAACGGTATATAAAACCTTTTCTCTCAAGGTCAGCAGTTCAAACAGTGCTGACCTAAACACACAACTGTCTGATTAATGCTCAGTGTCAATTATAGTTGCACATAAATATGTGCTCATACAGGTCAAAATATGGGGAAAGGCACATGGAGATGAATTGCTAAAGGTATTTGGCACCCAAACCTCGAGGTGGCACCTGGGGGGATCATAGAAAGGTGCTGAACTTCAGGTACGTCTGTGACAGCTAAGATCTCTTAGGACTTTTGAGTAGACATCATTCTGCTCTTGCTGCTACTAAATTCTTCTGAAAACCTGTTCCTTGTTAAGATATTTTAAACTGCTTTTAATTGTGGCAATAGAGCATGACCTTCCGTCTTATCTTTAGATTGGCTGTCTTCAAACCAAAGGTGAGGTGAGACAGTGTGGATCTGTTGTGCTTGCTCTGCAGATGAATGCAGGTTTGAGAGCTTAAGGGCTTAAAGTTTAGAATTTTGACCAGTGCCAGCTCCATTTCACTAAATTGCTTTAGTCATGATGGATGTACTGACACTGAAGATGCTTTTTGCAAACAGGTCCAGCTGTTCCAGCATTCTTTGCTCCCTCAAGTCACCAGGGTTCAGACAGTTGGTACACAGCACCCTCTTTTCCTTTGCTTTCCCAGAAAACTTCCTGAGACTCAGAAATAGGAAGTGTCTGAATTTAATTGTGAGAAGTTAATGATGTTGAATCTAATTGAAAGGTGCCACAGTTATCAAGCTTTCCTGGTTTTGTATTGACTGATAATCAATTCAGTTTATCCACAACATGAAGTTGACGGTTATTGATGGTTCAGAGTAGCAGAAGCGTAAATGGATTAACTATATGTGGCTACACCAATTAGACCCTCCTGTATGCTTTCCTGGCTTAAAAAAAATTTTAGATTTAAAATAGTCACTTCACTTAAGAATTGTACATTCTCAATTTCAAAAAACTGGAATAACCTTTGAAACTAATAAGCAAGCAGTAACGCTTGGGGCATCCCAACAGCTCATGTGTATGTTCACTTGTATAATGCAATAGAGCTTTTAGAGAATAATATCATACAAAACCAGAACAGTATCGATTATTAAGAGAATATCAGCAAAAGGAGAATATTTTATTATGATACACTGATTTTAAAATGGGAGAAAAATGGCCATTAGCTTGTAAAGGATCTTGCAAATTTTTGCATGTGCCTCATTTTATGTTTTCTCCAAGCTGCTCATCTCATCAAGCTTAGGGATAACCAGAAAAATCCCTGCTGGAGGATATTAAGTAGGTGCATGAATGCACCAGAATGCTAACACATCAATTTAAATTCCTTTTCAACATGAAAAAGCTACTTCATTTGACGTCAGCATAAAACAGTGGATTGAGGCATATAGTTTCACAATAAGCTCTCACCACTCACTTCCCAAATACAATCACAGCTGTGGTAGTGTGACGTATATTACTCAGTATTTTGTAAATGAAATTTTTAAAACAAAGCTAAGACACCTCTTTTACATGATGAATCAGTAAAGGAGTAAAAAGTCATCACTGTGAAGTTTGACTCTGAAGAGTTTGAGTAAAAATCCGTGAAATTTAAAATAAAAATGAAACAGCAATGAACAACTCCATTTACAAAACAAATTTTGACTTGTTGCTTATATTTCATTGTTCTCGCCCCCCTCAGTCTTAGATTTTGTGCCTAGAGGTTGTTCCATATAAATGGGGAGAAAACAGCTAGAGAACCAACTGTTACCGTTCATTTCTCTCTCCTGTAAGATAATGTTATATTGCGTATTACTTTTGTTAAAAATGCAAAGTGACTCATGACTGTGGGGGAAAAAAGAAACAAAACCACCATATATAACAGCAAGTAGTACTGGGTTCATTTCATAGGGGTTTGTAATATCCCTGCATTTAAGGAAAGGAGGAGAAGGAGTATGGAAAAGTATTCTGCATGTAAAAAGATAGAATTACTATTAATATGTTTTTTCATAAGGCTCAGGCAGTTGTAGTTAATACTTAAAAACAAAATTCAATCCACAAACTAGCTTACCTAGATAGT